GGGGGGGGAGGGAGGGGGTGGGGGGGGGGGGGGGGGGGGGGGGGGATTGGATTACTGCCGATGACATATTAGCGTTTGTAGCTAGATTTTTACCCAGAATGCAAATGGAAAAAAACCGTGAGCAAAACGGTGACTGGTACTGACTAGTATATATTCCATTGAGGGAAACTAAGTTTCATATCTGCTCAAGAGGCCCCCTGGTGGTTGAAGAAAAATCCACATATATATGAAAAAAAAACACCGAATGCTCTCTGGTATTGTTCAGGGGACCGGACCAAATGAGAAGGCGGGCCGCAGCTTGGGGACCCCTGATTTAATGCATCGTGTTCCCCCCGGATCATTATTTGTGTTGCACAGCGCTCTCACTTCCGCTTGAGTTGTTGACGAAAGTTAAGTGCTAGCAGCATAACGTCCAGTTTTCAAGTTCGGACCATGGGGATTTTACTGATTCATGATAATGTCCGGGTTTTTGTAGTTTTTCGGGGGACCAATAAACATCCTTAAAATGACGGAAGCGATGCTTGGAGTACGGCATTTTCTCCTCCCGGAGCTGCTGCTTGGTGGCCGGTTCAGAGCTAATGGTGGAGAAGAACACGGCGGGATTATTTATACAGGTGAGCGGATAGACCGAACTCTGTGGGCGGCTGTACTTTGGTTTACTGACTAACCGAAAAATAAATTTCACATCATCCTGGTCGCAACAAATGGATGGCGGAGCGCATCGTGGTGGCACGTAGCTGGTAGATGAGTTCATTATGTGTGTGACTAATGCAGGTATCAAATCCCATTGCTAACATGAACACAAAGCTATAAATGTCTGGGCGAGGTGAGAGTTCATCTGTTAAACTCACTGAAGATGAATACATAAACGAAAAGCTGGAGTATGCTTAGTTTATTTATAGAAATAGAATTTTTAGGCAGGCTATTTGAGTATAATAAAGAGCCTGCCTCTTTGTGTCTTGGAAAAAATTAAGAGTCTGGATACGAAGAAATAGGAAATTTATTAAAACCTTGCAAGGTGAGAACAGAAATACAGAGTCAAGCAGTCTATCAAGTCTGCTCTAACAGTGGATCTGGCTAACTTTTATAGGTTCTGGTCAGAGAAAAGAGACTTGATTGGACAATAGGTGTGAATCCCTGATTGTGATGTACCAGGGATTCCAACCCAGATGGTCTGGCCATTTGTCTATTGTTAAGGATAGGGGTTTGTTCTTTCATACTAAAGAGGGGAGATAAGTCCCCTGGGCAAGTCTCCAGAATCAAGGCATCCCCTGCTGTTATATGGCACTGTAGAAGTCTATAGGAAAGCAGCTTGACTAATCTCATGATAAGCTCATGCAGACACATGATCTCATCATCAGACACAATCGAAAGCACAAAAGGGGTGAGGGGCACATCATAAAATTTTCCATTAAACTGAATATAATTTCAGATTTTTGTATAACTTTTCTTCAGGTTAACTTAGAAAGTGAGCTATTATTGTTACAAATTAATTTTCTAAACTATAGAAAAGTTATTCTTGGGGATGTTCAAATGTGAAAAATTGGACTGATATTGATATGCGATAGTAATACTGCTGTTATGTTAGATTTACCAATGTTTTATTAAAATTTTTTTATCTGATTACTTATAATCGTAAGAATAATCAATAGATTACTCGATTACTAAAGTATTCGTTTACAACAGCCCTAAAACACAAATGTAATGACACTTAAATTTCACTAAGTGTTGCCGTTCCACATCAGGATGTTGGTCGATGTTCCAGTTAAAATCACCTCTAACCAGCTGCCTTTAGGGATTCAAAGGAACTCGGTGTTTCAGCTGTTTCTCAGTTTTCTGGAAGTTTATCTCAGATCTGTGCAGGATAGAAGCTGAATGCTGCTTCTCCATGTTTGGTTCTGGTCCTGCATCCAGAACCAGAATCAGGAGACTTCAGAAGTCTGCAGGTCGATCCAGCAGCAGGGTGGTCATTCACATTTAAATACAAATGTTCCTCTTGTGATTTAAATATTAAGTTATTTCCTAAGCAAACATTTGATTCATGTTGTCATGCTGTCCTTTGCTCCAGACCTTCCTCTGTCTCAGAGTTCTGGTTGCATGGAATCATTACCAGTTCAACCAAACTCCTGCTTCCAGTCTCATCTGAATGAGTGGAGCAACAGAAAATGGTTCATTAAAAGAAATCAGGATGAAAAGTGTTAATATTTAAATAAATGTACATTTAAAGGTCTTTCTGGTGTTTCGCAGACGGCTTCAGCACTTCCAGCAGTTCATGATATTCTGCTGAATTCCTGGAGTAAAGCTGCGACTTTGTCCACTGATGAAGATCATCCTTAGAGCTCTGATTGATGACTCCCATCTCACAGTATTTATCCAACAGCAGTCTGTCTCCAATGCCATGATATGTCCTGGTTGCTTTGGTGGACATGACATCAGGTCTTTTGTTTTGCTGATAAATTCCTGCACAGAGAGCAAACATTAGCCGACTGGTTGAAACAGCCTGTTTTTCTGCAGGCTAGTTGCAGCAGCTGAATCAGTCTCTTTTATGCACCTGCATCTCTCCGAAGAGACTCCGACATCTCTGGATTGGCCGCTATTAAGGACATCTTCATCGCTTTATGAGCATCACCAGAAATCAGAACTTCAGCTAGCTTTTCCCTGCAGCACACAGAGGAAGTGACATCAGCAAAGGGCCGCAATCAGTCATGAAGTGACACATTCTCACCTGATTCTGTGGGAGCCCTTGCTGTTTCCGGTGGTCAGTGCCTGCTTGTGATGTTTGGTGAGAACCTCTCTGCAGAGCCCACGCTTTCCGGTTTTATCAATCATGGCGTAAAGCTTAGGCTGGCTTGTTTCCAGCCTGTTCCTCAGGGCTTCGTTCTCGGGTTTCTGCAGCATCTCATGAGCTTTCTGGAAGGTGTTGATAGGTGGGATGTGGTCTGCATTCACAGGACAGCTCTGGTTGTTGTTATCAGCATTGGGTCTGTTCGTCCTCCGCAGGCCCTTGATGCTTCACAAACCAAACATCAAGTAAAGATGACTGTGTTAGAGAGTGACACTGCTATTTTAAATCTTTGGATAGAATGAACTCACTCATCAAACCTTCCAACCAAACCCAGGTCGTAGGTTTTTATCAGATCGGCCTCATGCTCCTGTAAATCGTGCATGTCTGTTGTGTTTCGTTTGTCATTGTAGTCTTTTCTGCTGGCCTGCTGCGTCTTCCTGCCTCCTCCACTGATGATGTATTTATCCAGGTATCTGTGGGTTTCTTCATATCCTCTCTGCAGGTTCACAGCTGCTGCGTACTTGGCTGTGTCCTGAAGCATCTGAACCATGACACGTCACAAACATTTCACCATGTCTACTTTTCCTTACACCAAAGCTACATTCAGTTTGTTCTTACTGACAACAGGATGCTAAATTAAGCAGAGATTTTAAATTACAATAGGGATAAAATATAAACTCTATAAACGCCAGGTTGCGTTGCTGAGTTCCAACAACATTTATCATTACTTTGTTTTATTCCTCCTATTGTCACATATATTCACCCGATTGATGAAACCATCAGACAGCACGGGATAAATATCCAGTGTGATGCTGATGATACTCGGCTATATCTTAAATCTTGATTAATCCAGTCTATTAGTCAGAGTTTATGTCTGGAAAACATAAACATCTGGATGACTCCATCTTTCTGTTTTTAAGTCCTGATAAGACAGAATTTGTCGACTTAGAGACTCAGCAGTTCAAAGAATCCAGACTGCCACATCTGAGCTACCAATAACTTCATGCTCTCTTTTTCATAGATGATCAACTTCACCCAGTTTTCTGTGGTTAACTCTTACAGTTCAGAGTCATTTTATGTTTAAACTCGTTTCCCTGAGAGCTGGAAAAGCTCTGGATCGAAGCATCGCTGTGCTGTACATTTATCAAAACAATTTAATTCAGTACAAAATTCTGGTAGTCATGCTTTGGGACTCTAGTATTTCAAATCAAGCTGTTTGATTCACAAATTATCTCTGGAGAGGACACAATGTATTAAATATGATTTGTTGTCTGGAGATGCAGCAAATGGTACCACAGGGATGTATATTAGGTCACCTTCTGTTCATGATTTATATAAATGAATTGGGACAACATGTGTCTGATTTGTATTTTATGCAGATGACGGTTATTTATTGCACTGGATCCACTCTTACTCCGTTCTTTGAACTATTACGGAAAGGCTTGGCTGCTATCCAGCACTCTTCATTACATTTAGAACTTGTTCTTAAAAGAAATACAAATAAACTGATTTATTTTTCCCAGAGGAAATTAAATCAAATGTAGAAAGCCTAGTGGAAAGGTTAAAATCAAAGTTGGGTTTTATTTTTTAAATAAGTTGTTTTTAATATAGAGATAAAAACTATCTTGTCATTGCAGTTTACTTGTCTGTGTTGGATTATAGAGACACTGTGATTCATCCTCACAGGTGGGATGTTCTGTCTGGTCCTGCTCAGTTTTTATCTAAGGATTACCTGGACTCCTGCCAGCCTATCTGCACTGAAAAATGTTGACTCTTCTGACTTGACTGCTTCTTTTTGCTTCTTTTGCTCAGACTGAATAGGCTGAGAAGACTTTTTTCTCTGTTCTCTGATCCTGGAACTTACTACAGAAAACTTTTAAATTAACTCATGTGCCTTTACCTCCAAAGTAAAAGTTTCAAAAGCATGCACCAGTTTTTCATAGCTTGTTGTTTTCTTTAAACTGTGTTACTTGTTAGTGTTTTATTTATTCCTGCTTCTTGGCCAGGACTCCCCCCAAAAATAAGTTTTTAATCTCGGCGTGATTTTATTCTGATAAAGTAAAGGTAAAATAAAAACTGAGAAAGGCTTTGAAGAGAGATTGATGGAGGTGAGAAGAACAGGAGACTGTGAGTTTCTGCCAGAGTGACTGGAAGTCTTTAGGGTTGGTATTTCTCAAAACTTTTAAATGATTTCTACATAAAACAACTTTAGTTTCCTTATCAGCACATTTTATGTTTGGCTGATGTTTTGAATGTCGTCATACTCACCAGATGCTTCACTTCACTTCGAAGCTGCACTGCCCTCTGTTTGTGGTCAGCAGTACTGCAGCTGGTGGCCTGGACCACAGCATGATAGAAGCAGTTCATATCTGCAGAGTTCACTGGAATCACAGCGCCATCTGGCTTCACAATGTCGAAATGTCCGCTGTAGGGCCTCGTTTCACCAGCAAGCCGTTCTGCGAATGTCCTGAAAATTACAAACAGAAATACCAAAACACTTTTATAGAGCTGGAAAATGAGTCCACCTGGAAACACCATATAACAGAGCAAACCAGAGGGACCTGAAGGTCATCTGAGGTTTTTAAGACCTAATTTAAGACGTGGTAGGTAATTCATGATTTTTAAAAAAATATCCTGATACATTAAACCAAAGATTGCTGCACCAGAAGTGACTCAATGCAGTCAGCTTGGCTTCCTTAGATAGAGATCCTTTTACGAATTTGAATAGAAAAGTAACTGACTATCTTGCTTAGCGCAGTTAATTGAATTAATGTGCATTTGGAGGACATTTGCTGTGAATAAGGTAATATGAAAATGAATTGATGAATACTTATTAACTCTAACAGAACAAAACACATCAATGTCATCAATATTAGATTCTCAATTGTTACTCACTGTTTTTGTGCTTCTGGGTCTTTGCTCAGTTGGAGGACAATATCTCCTGCAGAACTGTCCTTTCCTGGAAAGTAATCCTCAGAAAGCTTTTTCTTATCTTTGTCCACAACTATAACTCTGATGCCTTTTCCTTGAAGAGCGTCACTTTGAGTAAGGACATGGATGTCCAAAGCTGAAGCAGGACGGTCAACATCACAAACCTCCTCTATGTAACAATGAAGGTCCTGTTTGCTCTCCTCTGAAAGAGATTCACACGGTCTGCGGATGGCCTCCTTCATTTGGTGTTTATACAGCTGGTTGTCAAAGAAACCTTGAGTATTAGCCCTGCCCAGTAGGTTCCCAACAGCACTGCTAGCAGCGCTGTTTATTTGAGTCATGCAGGTTCTGGTGATGATGGAGGTCATGTGTCTTGAGCAAGCTTCAACAAATGACTCTAAAACACTTGAAGCTATAATGTGGAGAAGGTCTTTTTTAAGCCTTTTCACATCAGCTAATGAGTGTCTTCCATCCTTGTCATACTTTTCCTGCGGCAGCTGATCCAGGCTTTTCAACAACCCAGGCACAAAGGCTTTATGAATGACATCTTCTGTAGGAAATGAATTCAAGATTTCTACACAGAGTTTGATATACTGAGCCGACTCCAAAAGCTTCATCAGCACTTTAATCTCTTTCTGTTTCTCCATGTGCCGTGCCACAGAACCACAGACCTCTGACAGGGTATCAAGAACTTTACCAACCTGGGTGCAGTCCATCATCAGGTCAGGGATTATGTCTCGCGTCATCATGTCCACTGATAGACGGATTTCATTCTCACAACTCATGTCTATTGTGAAGTTGGTGAAGTTCTGCTCCATGGCCGTCTTTGGTACTGCTGAACAAATGAAGTTTGTGAGAGCAGACTCCAGACGGCTATTAGCTTTTATCATTGAAAAGACTTTGTCCCTGAAGGCCTCATTCAGAATCCTTTTAAAAACAGCTGGAAGTGCATTGCTGACAGTGTAACTTAGCGCAGCGACACATCCCTGCTTTGCCAGTTCCTGAACAGCAAATTTCCCTGCATGTTTACAGCACTCTTTCACTGTGAGGATGGAGCTACATTTAGCCCCAGCAACCAGACCTTTGGCACCACTTCGTACAGCCCTTACAGCTCCCTTGAGTTTGCTCAGTCCACCAAAGACCAGAGACACCCCAATGCTGATGGCTTTGGAGATTGCCCACTCAGCCCAGTCAAAGCTTCCTTGTATCATCCCCTTTATGCCGTGAATCATGTCAGAAACTCCTTCACTGATGAGTCCAAGCCCAAACTGGCTGGCGCTTCCATAGGACAGAGCACAAACGAGAACACCTGCCGCCACTTGGACAACTCCAAGACAAAAACAAGCAAAGGCGTCGATGGAAAACTCTGGTTTCTTTTTAACATCAAACACGATGCAGAGACCAAACTCATGAAGTACCATTATTTCATTCATGGTGATGGGGTCTTTGTCTTTGGAAAGACTGTAAACACTGGAGTCTTCTAAGATAGCCTCTCCTTTGCTGTTCTCAATGTGTTGGAGGGCTTTCAGGGCATTCTCAATGTATCCTTTCCAACATTTGAAGACACTCATTCTGGCTTTCATTTGGTTCTGCAGATTGCTGTCTTTGTGGTGGGGTAAGAAGTCATTAGTCATGGCCAAATTACAAAACATCATGGTGTTTGTTGACTCTGACAGGTACACATCCACAGCAGTCTTTGCTTTTTCCAACAATTGCTTTGCTTCCTCTTTGTAGCCACTCCTTTGCAGGTTGACTGTGATGTACGCCTGGTTATAAAGTGCCACAGCACAGTAGAAAGGATCGCACTGCACAGCACTCTGCCAGTACAGCAATGCTCCAAAGTCGCTTTCCTTTTTGTTGCTGCGGTGTATGTCAGTTCTGCTTTTTGCCAGTTTAATGTAGTCGTAGAAATTGTTCCTCCTCCCCTTTAAGATTTGATCGGCAGTGTTCTTCAACCCCTTCATAAGGTTTTCTTTCAGAAGGAGGATATCATTGTGCCTGCTGAAGTGCTCTTCATGGAGGATGAGCCACAAGGCCCATGATTCTTTCAAAGCATTGATTGCAGTCTCATAATCAAACTTTTGACGATGGCTCTTAAAACACTCAGGAAGATCTTTTGACATCAGCTTTTTGATATCCCTCCTCTCCTCTTCTGTGTAGTGCTTGTCAAAGTCACAGAGAAACTCACAAAATGTGGCGAACAGATTTTCCTTGATTTCAATTTGAAGCAGCTCATTTTTCTCCATACCATCCAAACGTCTGACTTCGTACTCCTCTCTGAGTTGTCTCATGGTTTCCACTGAGTGGCCTTGGTATGCTTGTGCCAGAAGATCCCGGTTGAGTATCATCTGTGCCATTCCTGGGTTTCCTTTGCGGGCGGTGCGTCCAAACACCTGTCTCTCTACACGGTGACTTCCAGGGAAGTATGTGAGAAGCACAAAGAGGCCTCCGCACTCATTGACTTCTTGGTGAACATGTATGTCTGTTCCTCTGCCTCCAAGGTTTGTAGCTATGATGATGTGTCCCTTTCTGAAAGTCTCCTTTTCAATGTTGTGCTTTTCGCTGATTGTATACATGCTGATCTTGGCAGAGTGTCTTTTTTGAACCTGTACTTTACCCTTCAGCTCCTTGGCAGTCTTGACATCCTCACAGATAATTAAAACAACCTGCCCTCTGTCTGCAGCTCTCCATGTAGTTTCACAGATGACCTGGATCCACTCAGTTTTTCCTCCAGAAACCTGAACTGCTGGCAGTTCTACAAGCTTTTTATGACGGTGAGCTGGAATGATGTAACTGGCTGTTTTGTACTGCCGTTTTAGAAATGCTTTCTCTGCTTTGCCCCCTAATGTCCCAGAGACTCCAAAAATCCCTTTGCCTGTCAGGTACTTTTTAAAGAAGTGGACATTTGACATGTAGTTTGTGACGTTAGATAATTGTGAAATTGCCAGTTGGTGTTTCATCTCCAAAAACTGTTGCAGGCCTTCACCCCAGCGCTTGTTTTTCTCTAGTACCCCACTGGCCTGGAAGTCCACAGGAATTATGGCATCATAATGATGAGAATCGTCACTGCAGAAACCAGGCCTGTCAACCTCTGGTGTCTTTTCAATCATGTACTCTCTATCTAGCGCCATCTGAATGGCTCTCAAGGCATTCTCTGCAAAAATGGGCAACTGATTCTCAACATACTCTTTCAAGAAAGATGGAATCACAATATATCCCTGAGTTTCATCCACCGACTTTAATGAGCACTCACTAGAAAATCTAATTTTGGATTTCAGTTTTTCAAGAGTTGACTCAGTGAGTGATTTCTCAGACATGATTTCACAGGCACATCCGTTCTGCAGAAGAAGGATCCTGACATCAGGGTCTGCAGAAGAATTGTCTTTACCGTAGCGCTTGGCTTTGTTGTTTACAAGTGAGTAACAGTCCACCACCACGCCATCAAGCACTGCTGTCTCAAGTTCCCTGAACAGCTCATGCTGCTGCTGATGTCCCAACTTGGCCATGATGGTTCCAATGACTTTCAATGTGGGATCTTCAGAGCTGCCTTTCTCTGTCTGAGTTTGACTCACTGCTTCATTTACTTGATTGAGATCCTCCTGAGAATAAAGGCCCAGCTTCACACCCAGCAACAGTATGTCAGCTTCTGAAAAGTCTGATTGTGGGCCAACCACAGCTTGCTTGGCAACCTTGTGACAGTACTGGATCCTAGTTCCCCATTGGATCTCGCCTGTTTCAAATATTTCTATCGGACGGCAGGTAGACATCAAGGCCCAGATACTTGCTAGGACCTGTTCCAGGTGTCTCAGCCCACTGGCTTGATGCGACAAGAAGGTCACCTGGACTCCACTGTCCAATGTCATGTAATCCACTTCATCCACAATAACACAGTCAAACTTTCTCTGTCCTCGAGTTGTTTTCTTCTCAAACTCTTGCCTCAGTATGTCTGCAGCAAAAGTACAAACAGTGCCATAAACTACTTGCATAGAATAAGCTTCTTCAAGCAGCTTGTCATGGTCTTCAAAGGAACTTTTAATTTGGTGTTGTGGAGGAACAGTTGATGAGGTCACACCAAACATTGCATAGAGTTTTTTCCACTCCTCTTGATCACGAATGGCAAGCAAAGGGGAGCTGGTCACAACATCCACCGCAGTACCTCGTATCGCCTGGATGGTGGCAAACATGGCTAAGATGCAGGTCTTTCCCTCACCGGTTCCGATTTCCAAGAGGCATCCTCGTTTGTTCTGGGACTGTTGTAGCAGCAGTAGCAGTAACGATGCAAGCTGAGTCAGTCTGGGAAAGTATCCCTGAACACTCTTTCCACTGGAGGTGATGAAGGTTGTGCACGTCTTCACGGCTATGGACATGACAATGAGGATGCTCTTTAGCATATCAGTGTTTGGATTGGAAAAGTCTATTGAAACTATCCACCTTTTACAGTCTTCAATCAAGTCTGACTCTAGGTCCACTCCTTTACATCTGGGCAACACAGCCTCAATGTACTGAAGAGTGTCTTCCAGTTGTGACAGGAGATCCTCTGGATAGTTATTTTCCTGCATTTCACTCAGGAGAGTCTCATGATCTTTGTCTTCCTCACATGATATACAGTCTCGAATATATCCTATGGGATCTTTGTGATTCAGTGCAGTGACGGCCAGTATGCAGCTTAGCCTATAGGTGCATACCCAGTGAAGGATGTTTGAGACTTTTTCCTGATCCATGCCCAACGTCCGTCCAATGAACAGCTTGATTTCTTTTGGAGTCCAGATGTTGTTGAAAAGTATTTGACTGAGGATCTCCTTGCCTTGTTTTGGTAACTTTGAAGTAATTTCAAGAATATTTACTAAAACCCGTCTGGCTAGAGTTGGATTAGAAATCTGCAGCTGAGCTTCCAAACTGAGAAAGAATTTGTTTTTTTTGTCTTGTCCAGTTCTGTGCTGAGACTGAAAATCAGGCTCACCCTCCAGAGTAACCTTGACCACAGCCTCCAGAACACTGAAGCGCTCGGTCAGGGACAGATCCACGTATCCAGTGGCCTGATCCAAAGCCCACTGTGACCAGATGGGGATATTGTGCTGTTCTAGGTAATTTAATATCAGCACATTTTGGAGAGACTTCATTCTGTCTTCAAGGTTTATCTTTGACTTCTCTTTCTCTTTGATTTGGTAGCTTGACAGAAGTTCTTCAAATCGTTGCTGCACATCTCTGAACTGCATAAAAGATTAATTCAGAACATTAGCATCAAGTATAAAAATTCATATGGTCAACTATTGCCAGAATCTAACTTGCTTTTTCATATTTAGTATGGTAAACCCAGAAGATCTCAAACCTTACCTCATCCCTCTCTATGTAAGCTGTATGATTGTCCAGCAACTGGTACAGAACTTCAGTCTTTTGCTGCTGGTGTTCTCGAGCTCTGACTTGTTCCTGCTCTTGAAGTCTTTCCTGAGCTTTTCTGATCTTTCTCTTGGAGGTTTTATTCTCCCAGTCAATCTGCTCTTGGATTCTCCTGGCTTGCTCTAGCTCTGCCAGGCGTCTTTTCTCCTCTTCTTGCCTTTTTCTCTGCAGTTCTTTTTGCCGTTTCTTCCATTGTTCCCATTCTCGTAGTTCACGTTCTTGCCTTTCCTGTTTTTGCCTTTCAAGTTCCAGTCGTACCTGTTCTTGTCGTTCCCATTGTCGTCGTTCACGTTCTTGTCGTTCCCATTCTCGTCGTTCGTGTTCTTGCCTTTCTTGTTCTCGTCGTACACGTTCTCGACGTTCCCATTCTCGGCGTTCCTGTTCTTGTCTCCTCTTGGTCTCCTCTTGGATCTTTCTTTTTCGTTCCAGCTCTGCCTGGCGCCTCTGCTCTTCTTCTTCCCTCTGACGTTTCTCTTCTTGTTGCCGTCTTTTGCGTTCTTCTCTTTCTAGTTTCTCTTCTTCGATTCTTGCTATAAGAAAATTCAAGAATGTTCTTGTAAATTTTATTACCCTCTTTAGTTTAATCACAGCTAGCTGAACATGTTCTGAGTTAGTATTACTTTAGAAGGTTTAAAAAAGTTAACTATTTTAACTGAATTTTATCTCAAATCAAGTCAGTAATGCTACCAAAGGTCTCAGGCAGAGGGTCCATTTTTTTTGTTTCAGTCTCTTAGCCTTAAAAATTAAGATTATTTCCTACCCATTAAAGTAGATTAAGAAAATCATTAACAAAAAGGTTGATGTTGAAAAATATGAGGTGCTGTTTTGAAAATTTACGCAGTCAATAATTAACAGCAGTAATTTGAGATTATGTAGCCTGATTAGAAATCAGGGGTTAATTTTCAAAGTCATTTCCGCCATGTTTTTCTTTTTTTCGTTTACTTATTCTCGTCAGAACTACAAACTAAATAATTATTTTTATTTAGTAAGCTAAGTACTTAGCAAAATAAATACTTAGTTTGCAAGCGCCTAAACAATCCACTAAAGAAGAAGAGGCAACTGTGGTGGACAAAGGTCATTCATGCATGGATGGATGATTGGATTAAAAGACATAAATTAAAAATGACGACTGATCTAAACGTGACGTTTAGAAAGATGTTCACTCATCATGTTCTCAATCCAACATTCAGCAGTGATCAGCGTTCTTGCCTCTTGGTTTCCAGCTGAATTGGCTCCTAATCCTTCATGTACCAAATAATTTCACGTATAAAGTCAAACAATTGAAGCTGAGTTCATCTAGATGTGTAGAAATCATCCAGCATTAACTGTGAGATATTGGTACATAATCTGAACGAACTGAAACTTCCCTTTATCGCTCAGTAGAAACAGGTTTGCTACAAACAGCAGACCACGCCTATCCAGGAAGTAAAGCAATAATGTGCAGCCTGAATGTTTCTATAAGACTTACCGTAGTTGGGACAGTGGTCAACCACTTCATCAGAACTGTTGACCAGCTCAAAGTGTTCCCGATCATCGCTCTCTCTTACAGTGAAATCATCGATGCGATTGTCAGAGTGGAGGTCCCATTCAGAGTGGTTTCCATAGCTAAGGTAAACGCCTCTGTCCAGAACAGCATCAAACAATCGGAATGGATATTTTAACAACGAAAATCCTAAAGGCCATCTTCCTGTTGCTGTACCATGTGGCTTCAATTTTGTCCCGCTCTGTGGAGTTGAGGAGAAGAAACAGTCAGAGAAGGTTCTTCCACTGGTTCATATCTCAGTTTGGACTCTTACCTTGTCTTTTTCATAAGAGTGGTACCAGGTGTAAGGGGTCTCATTGGTTACTGTAATAGTGATTACCATCTCTCTGCTCTGCAAGGACAAAGAATCAATTATCTATAGGAAATGATAAATTCAAGTGTTCCTCTTGAGAAACTTCAGCACTTTATCAAACCGATTGAAGAACCTTCAATGATTAGAATTCAGATATGTTCGAACACGTTGTCTCTCAGGGACATCCTATGTTTGCCTGGGAATCTGGACTGCTGTTTGGTCCATCAGCACAAACGGGAGCCAGAAACTCCAACGCCAACAACGATGCAGCCATACAGCTCATCAGGAAATCTCCAACACCAACAGCTGAGCTGGGGCCTCATCAGGATCTGAGTGCCCAACTGATGTCACCCACCTGAGTAAGTCCGACCTCCAGTAGTGTGGCACCCATTGACAATGTAATGGAAAATTTATTGTGACCTTTTGTTTGTAGGCCTAATGACTAATTTCCATTGTGAGCACAAGGTGCTCTGGTTGTGTTGAAGTCTGGGTGTGGTCAGGACTTTCACTTCCTGATAAGCTAGTTTGTGATAAAAGCTGTAAGAGCTGAGCAGCACCTCCTTAGATCTACAGCAGTTAGTTGGATCCGGAGTATAAAGAACATTCTGCTCATTTGAACGCTTTTTACCTTCGACATTGCTGCCCAAGTCGATAGGTGTTCAACATAGAGATCATAAACTACAGCATACATGATGCATGGTTGTCATATAACAATATGACAACCTGGTGTTAGGAATGATTTTGGCTTTATATTATAATTTCATCTCCGACTCTAAATGTCAGATTGAAAACCGACTCGGGGTTTTTCCTGGTTAAGGTGATTCTACAAAGTGTTGGGTCAGCTGTTGGTTTCTCCAAGTTTTGTTTTTCAATTAAATTTCAATGTCAAAGTAAAATATTTCCACTGTCCCTTAATTGCAGATGATTAGGTGGCGCTGTTGCTACAGGTTCATACTCTGACAATAGATTTGGCTAAAGCCCCAAGAGTTTAATAAGTAAAGTAATCCTCAAGACTTTTCCTTATGTTTTTGTTTCTATGCTTTTTGGTCAGCAAAAAACCAGGAACAAGTCAGCA